GAGAGGAAAACAGTTAAGATTGAACAACATTATTGAACAAAGTTGCCCTGATTCTCACAATTAACCAAAGTTACATTATCAGGAAAACAATAATGTAATCACCAACAATTTACTCATTACTTTTAGAGTGTTTATGCCTCTCCATGGACTCGTAAGGTAATCAACTAAATACACCGAAAAAAGGTCTGAATCAACTGAATCAAAGTAATGCTCAATGTTCATCAAGACCAAATTCAAAGCTCATCAAATTTACTCCAAAAGTCATCACAATAATATTGCTTTGCAACAATTTTTTCACATTTTTCTCGTCTTCTAAATCCATAAATCTTTTTATTGTTACATGTTTATCAAGTTGGGTTTTTGTATAAATAATGGCAATATTTACAAAATATTGACTCTATTTTTCTTTCTGGAATTTCCGTTCTCATGTTGATGTAACAATAATTCATTGACAAACAAACATAATCTCAATAACACTTGAAGAATGTTTCATGAAAATCTCATTTTTCCATTTAATTCAACCATTCAAATCATGTTTTCTCATTGTTGAAACACTTTACATTTCCTGATTGTAATTAGCATCTTGATTCAACTTGCAACTTGATTTGATATTTAAATGTTCAGACAATGATATTGTATTTCATGATCAGTTAGTCTCAAGAAATGTCTAAGCTTCTGGTGAGAAAACATTGAGAAATGTTTCCAACGAAACTTCATTTTTATTAGTTTATTCAATGTAACCATTGAAACATTAATGATCTTTAATTTAATCTTTAACTTGCAATTATTGAAATGCAGGTTATTCAAATTATGAAATTACATATTTCACCAAAAAGCTTATGTTATCAGATCAAAAACTCCCATGAAGAAAAAACAAATTTCATGATGTTCGATTCCTTCAGTCGAGTATTTTTAGCAAAAGCATTTTAATGAAACGAAATTCAAGTTGGTAAAAAGATAATCTAAAGTTTCTTCAAATCGCAATCAAACCCAATTTGAGATTCTAATAAATGATAGTTGCTCGCCAGCTTAGAGCATCAGGGATTGACTGGGAGTGATAAGCTGTAAATGTCAAAGTTAAAAATGATATTTAAGTTTCATTTAGAATTTTAAATTTTAATTCAAATGAGGAAAAGATGATTAAGAAAATGTGTTTAAATATTGATTCAATTATTAGCAATTAATCCAAGTGATTATCCATCATCCTTTTAGACTTGTTTTGTTGCTTTAATCAAATATAAATTAGATTGATGATCGTCTTTGTGTTCAACTATTTAATGAGTTTTCATGATTATTTTGTAATTTAATTTTTTCCTTGTCAACAATCAAAACTCTAAATTGTGTATTGATTTTCATTTTACTGGCTTGATATTGATTAACTTTAGTTTAAATTGAAAAGATAATTCATTTTCATTTGAAACCATTCAAAATTGATTAACTGATTCAGTCAATCTTATGAATGAATAAACAACATGAAAAACAAAGAGCAAACTTTAAACAATAAATATGTTAATCATGATTGTTTCCTTTGATTGAAACTTGATCATTATCTTGATTGAATAATTGAATTATTGAAACATTGTAAAGCTGAAAATAATTAAAACTTAAACGAGAAAAAAATCGTCAACAAAAGTTGATTAACTTGATAGGCAATTTAATTTGGCCTCATTGAACCGATTGTTATGATAATTTATTCAAGAAAATTTAATTGTTGAATAATTAAAAGCGATAATATGATCATAATTGTTGAATAGTTTTAATCCATTTCTTGAACTAATCATTGATTAACCTTGTTGAATCCTTAATTAGAACAAGAAAATAATTTTCGACGAAAAAAACCTTTTTTCTCGTTAAATATAAACCTTTGTTGATTAGTAAATTATACAAATCATTGTTGCATAATCTAGTTGTTAAAGGTTAATTACAATCGATAGTGTTAACGATTCACCCTGGAATAGCATGAATCTTAATCCATTATTGAATAACTCAACTTCTTTCACTGAATCATGATTGATGTGATTAACCTTAATTCATTAATACAAGGTGTGGCAAGATTGAAATTGCTGATCAATAGATTGGATCCTTTGTTTTGTTCAATGGATAACATCATTAATAGTTTACAATGGAACCGATTTTCGAGTGAAAAAAGGATTGGTTCAGAGGAAAATATGTTTAAACAAAATTAATCATTAGAATGATATTAATCAATCAAGATGTTGTACATCGGTTCAATGTTTACATGATTATTTCATCGATCAATATTGAATAAACAGATTTGAAGATTTGAATAATTTTAAACTTTCATTGAAAAAGCAACTTTCGTGACTTCCAGTCCATCCATGAATATTTCAACCTACACAAGTCACTCTCTTCCCATCAAACTTGACACATAATGAAGGGTTTCTCGTGAAACATTTTCTTCGTTTCATCCATCATAATGTTCATGAGAAGGTTAACAAACCATTCATAATTCAGTTGCGAATCATTCATTTGAAAGAAATGAAAATTTACCCAAAAATTTCGAAATCAGGTTACCATGATAATGGTAGCGATGAAAATGATGATAATCACAATGATCACAGAGATTCATGATTCGTGAAATGTTGAACGTACAATTTGAAAAACTGTTGAAAATCTTTCATCTGATTGTTCATTAGGAAAATCAGTTGAAAAGATAAAAAGTTAATATTATTCCAGGCTGTTGTCAAGTTTAACCAACACTTGATTATTTCACTTTCTATTCATTATTTGTAATCATGATCTCAATTTAATCCAACCTTGTTTACCATATTAGCACATTTCAAGATTCATGGAAACCGTGACTTGACTTTGATTATGTTAATCAACTGTAAACGCTAATCAACTTATTCAATAGCAAATGAAAACATCAACATTATTGATGCCGAGAATAATGAACCTCTGAAAATGTTATCAAACTTATTATTGGTTAAACAAGTTGAACAGACAAGCTCATTGGGAGTGAAAACCTCCAAGTTGAACAATTGATAGCTCAAGATTGATTAACAGTAATCAAATGTTTCTTACAAATTGTTCAACTCAATTTTAAGTTGAACAATTTTTCATCCTTTCCGACCCAATAATCACAATGATTAAGATGATAAATGAGATAATCAAAGCAATTGTAAAAATTGTATAAAAATTGTTCCTTTAAACTGAACAAAGATTCATGGAAAAGATTAAATTTCAAGAAATTTTCTTTCCATTCATCTTTTCAGGGTAACAATTTTTCACTCACAATTCCCGACTATTGCAACTATTAAATGTATAAATCATTTTTAACCCGTTAAAATGGTCACCAATTATGTGAATATTTACCATTAATTTAAAATTTAAAATTCGTTGAAGCATTTCGAAGAAAAACTTTTCAAATTTTTATTCAAATTTCCATGCAACCAACAATTCAACAATACTTAATCATTGCTATTTATAAAGCAAAATCAAATTCAATTTTACAATCATTCAACTATTGAACTGATGAAAACATTTCGCTTAATTGAATCAATGAAAAGACTTTAATCAATCTAATCATCAACTTAAGGCAAATCTTTCAAATCAGTTAACCATTCAAATCACTACTTTAATAGAGTGAAAAAGTTTCTGTAAATGGTCAAGATTCTTGTATTGAAAAGGTCATCCGTTTGAATGTCTTTCCAATTCAGATCACACATGATAAATCTATTCTGTTCTGCCTGATTGTTTTCAATTTATCTTTAATCACAATCTGATAGTCAACTGTGAAAGGGACAACAAATGGATAACAAAATGAAACAACAACAAAAAAAAGTTGAAACAATAACTCCAATGATCATCAATCACACAATGCTATTAATATTTCATCGCATTACATTGTTTTCACTGTCTGTTTACAATCAATTTGAATATTAATGTTGATAATTAAATTTATTATTTGGTACAATTCACACTAAATGTGTAATATAAAAAGATTGAAGCATTTGTGTTGAGAATAAGAAGGAAAAAAAATCAATAAATTAAAGCAAACCCTTGAAATTGATGAAAGAGCATCGAGAATTGATAACAAACATTTGCCTTTTTGTTTATCCTTTTTATTGTGTTCACCATCTTAATCATCTCAATAATGCAACTTGAATAACTCAAGTTAACTTCATCTTTTTCATCCTCATTTTACCCCTAATTTTCATCTTCATTTCTGTGTGTTCATCTTTTCCAGAGTTTCCCCAACCCAAGGCAAAGTCAATGGGTTATGGCTGGTTAGGCTGATGGTTTCAACTTACGCTCAACTTGTGAACAAAATGAGATTTACTTGTTTTTTTGTCATCTCTTGGCTTTTACCCTTTTTCCTGGTTTCCTTCAGATTCTTCCCTCAAATTGAATGGAGACATTATTCAGAAACAGTTTCTGATTGGGAACCATAAAAGTGGTTCAAACATTAACCATCTTAATCTTTGGAGACAGTCAAGACGACAACTTTTATATGTATTAACTCATCAATCCTTTAGTGTCCTTTTATTATCATTGTAATCATATTAATATAAAATTTTACAATATGATAAATACATGTGAATATAAATGTATAAATAAATATGTACAGACAAGATGTACAGATATGTATAATAAATAATAAAGATGAATGAAAATGGCCTTTGCTGTCCAACATCTTCTTTCTTTTCTGGACTCATGTCCAACCCATTGATTTTCATGGTTTTAATGGTCATTCATTTTTCATTTTACAGCATTTCAATTCAACTTCTTGAGGCTATTTTTATTCCAAACACTTTATAAACCGATTATAAATCAGATCAATAGACAAATTGCGTATCCAGACCTTAATCAGGTAAAGCTCTTTTTTTTGCTCATTCACTTGATTCCTGGTTATCCTTACGTATAATATAATTATGTCGAGCAAACGAGTTTTATCAATTTTTGCAGCTGTTTTGAAAGTGCCTCCTAAAGGCATATTGCTATGGTAACCTTTGCCTGCCTTTAAATTCATGTTTGCTCAACAATGCGGTAAGTTTGCTGTTGTATTAAGTTTTTTATTTGACTTGCTCTTAATTATTTTTGTTTAATTTTCAATTGATTGCTTTAGTAATTCTATTACTGTTCTCTGTATTGTTTGTGCAGTCAAATTTTCACTCTGGATGAGTCTTGACGATACTTGTGATCTTGCTTTCAAAACGCCTTTCACTGGTTATGTGATGAAGTAAAGGTAATCTTCAAGTAAAGGTAATTCGACATTCTTTATTCTACGTTTGCTTAACAGTTATTTATAATGATGATTTACTTTTGCTTCCTCATAGTTTCAACAAGATTTGATGTCAACTCTATAGCCATATGCCTAAAAAGGTAAAATTAATGTGACAATTTATGTTAGCAATTGTTTTGATCAAACATTTAATGGATTGACGAGATTAATGTCCGTGTAAGAAATTCATTTCAAAACTATTCATCTTACAGATTATAATTTTATTCATTGTTCTATTTTCATTCCAGGTTTTCAACTGTGCAATGGCTCTTATCAATCTTCAAGTGATCTGCATTTCCAGTAAGCTCCATATATAAAATCATCGGAAAAAGATACCAAAAATTTACTCATAAGTTTACGATATCAACAAATAACACATAATTGGGTGTTTTTATTTTTTTAATAGATGCTGAACACAAGCCTCGAAAGGATGGTGGTGAACTGTCATAATTTTCCAATCAACAACCAACAGCCGGATAAACAGCATCGAGCAGTTTTTACATGTATTTGTATGTCTTATCCTGAAAATTCAGTAGTGAACAGAGCCCAGCAAAATTGAAGCAAAATGAAAATGACTTTAAAAGGTAACGTGGATACTAAACACTTTATTTGGAGGAAAAAGTGTTGATTGTAAAAAAATAATCCAAATTATGTAAATGTATTTTCATTCGAGTACATTTCATGCAATTTAGCAAGAACAATCACATGAACATTCTTTGTGAGGCTTGGTAATCTTTGGTTGCTCAGCTTCACGCTTGGTTCTGTTGACAGTAGTAATTTCACTGATCTTACCAGCGTCATCTATATCGTGACAAAAAATGGAAAATGATTAATTACTGTTTCAATCTACTCTTTTCTTTTTCAACTTACCCTCCATGGGTTTGTCCTCGATGGGTTTGTCCAATTTCAAAATCGTCTTAATTGATTGTTTGGATTTCTTTGATTTACTGGGATTCCTTGAACTGCATGAAAAAAACATCTTCTCGCCAGTCATATGAATCAATCTTGGATCTGTAGTCATATTTCCATATGGTGTGATAAGCTGTAAAAATCAAGAGAAGGTTAAAAATTCAGTTCTCCATTCAACGGATCGTCCTTCAAAACAGTTCCAGTTTAAATATTTAGACCAGTTTTTTGTCAATCAACTATCATTTATATTGATATCTACTTTTGATTGCTATTATTTAATTTCTGTCCTTGGATCAAAAAAGTAAACGTAATTGAATAGCTATTCAACAGTTTCCGTTGACTTTCGAGAGTAAAGTTGAAAGTGAAAAGGGAAGCTGAATGAACCAGTTTTTTTACATTTTTCATTTTCTAACTTCGTAGTTTGAAAAATAAGGTTTTAAACTGTTATCAGTTGAACCAAAAAATCCTTGGTCTTAATTGTTTTCGCTCTCACCAAGCTATTCAAATGTGCATTACAGCAATCCATGCTTCAATAACAAACAAAAGGACAATCACTGAAACGTTACAATCATGTAACCAGTAGACTATGATTTGGTTAAAACTTGATAGTTGAAAGTATAATACTTTCACTTATAAGTTGATTAAATTATCAAAAGTTTCCCGTTCAATTTTATGATCATCTTGATAATTGTAAAGATACTAATTGATTAGGTTAAGTCAAGGCATGCACTTAATCAATTTTGGTAGGAGAAGCACAAACATTGATTCCAACCCTGGAAGAGTATAACTTTTAGTTATTCAAGCTATAGTTCAAGTTATTACTCTTTGCCTGGAAACCAATCTTTGGTTTGTTCGCTAATTTAATTGAAAGTAAGGTATTAAATTAATGTGAATATTGTAATTAACTTTGATTAGATTTATGCTTGTGGATAAAGTTGGTCTAATCTTGGACTTGGAAATTTATTCTGAAAGTGTAACTTGATATTTACCATTTTAGGTTCCGAGGCGATGATTTGAGTAGCAACTCTTCTTTCAACCTCACAATTGATTCGACCTTTTTTCCCAGCTTTCATCAGCTCCTAAATTATCAGAAAGATTAATTGAAGTTTAATTTGTCTTTTTTTTATTAGATTCACTTAATCAACTTACTCCTGCTTCACCATCCATTTGGATACGAATGGGTAAACGTTTTGCCTCTCCATCTTCACTTGGAAGTCCAGTTAAAGGTTCATAGTAAGGACTATCTCGAGATTCAGAGCCCTTAATAAATACAAGGAATTAATTGACGTTTATGCAATCAAGTCTGGTTGATTAGATTGTCTTCAGGCTGATACTTACTTGATATCCTCTGCAATTACAACGAGCTCCTGTCTGTACATAAGCTGAAAGAAGGATGAAACTTCCAAGAATCATGGTCATTCCAATCATTGCATAGGCAACCATTTTTACCATTTTCAATGTTTGCTGAGTTTGATAGGCCTTTCGAGTTGTCAACAATTTTTCAATTAAGATTAGTTGATTTTAATAACTAGGACAAAAAAAGATTGAGCTTACCTGGTATGAAGTTTCAGCTGTTAATCCAATGGTTGATTGAGTCTCTGAAGGGTGATTATGGTAATCCATTGTTGAACTGGAAAAGGATTTACTTTCACTGTTGAAGGGAGGAATTGTCATCTAACAAGTTGAAATGCTCAAGACTATTTAAAATTGGTGTCACAGTTAACCTGTTAAATCTAAATTCTGGTTCAAATTGACTAACCCAAAGTGAACCTGCGGATCAGATTTTATGGACTCAATCAAGTTAGCTGGAGTTTGTGGTTGTTTAACGATATATTTACAGTTTAATGATGAAACAATTCCACAAGACTCAAGTATTTCAAATTAACTAATCAAGCTGATTACAAAACAAAAGATATCCAGTTAAACGCAAAAAAGGCACACAATTGAATCGATTACTTCAACACACTTCGACAAAATGGATGCAAAAAACGGTTGTGACAAAAAATTTTAATTTCTTGGCTTGAACACAATTCGTCAACTTTTTGCACTGATCTCAATTGCGACTCAATTTGATTATAAAACAAAAATTAATCTGCCACTTTTTTGTCCATTATAAACTCACTGTTTGACAAAAGTGAAAACCTATTTTTCGTTGTAACCACCTTTTGAAGGTTGGTCAGGAAACACGCACCATTTAAATGCGCTTTTTTGTGTTATTGTTGCCAATTTTTTGATTGTTTCACTTATTCAGTTGCGTGATAAACAATTGAAAACATATTTATTATGATATCTGTTTTTTTTGTTACAAAAAAGCTTAACTCAATTGATCATTGAGCCTTTACACCGTTAAACAAGTAAATACACTTACTGTTACAATTACAGTTGTTGGTCTTGAATTGGTCAAGACTGAGTTTTTTACAATCTTTGGTAATGAATTCATCAGTAAATCAACCGTAATCAAATTAATGGTTAGATTGTCAACGATATGCCAATTACTATTTATGACTGTGCAAGTGTGAAACGTTAATTTGCATTATGAGTTTCTAGAGCAAGACAAACAATCAATTTGATTAATGAAAGTTGTCTTTGTTTTATTATTAATATTTGTGTCGCTTTAACGTTTAAACCTTGAGCCCGATGTTTAGAGGTTATCAAATTCAGATCAAAGATTGTATTGGATTAATTATTCATGTAATCATTTCATCTTTTATTCAAAAATTGGCTCTTTTATTGTCAATTTACAATTAATTTTCCAGCGCATTTCGCATCCAAACTGCCATAACTGTTAATCTTGCATTACAAGCTGTTTCAAACGGAATTGATTGGTCAGGATTATAAGACTATTATTGTTGGACATCTACCGTGTTTCCGCACAAAGAAGGCCAGAGCTTATTCATAGTATTATACAGTCAAACCTCTCAAAAGTTGCAGTAACGGGCCAATCGTTCGCAGATGGCGCCACCAAAAATCTCTTAAAAAAGGAGGAGACTCGTCTCTTTCTTTGACGTTTCTCTTTCTTTTGTCTCTTTCTATGCAACTTTTGAGAGGTTTGACTGTAATTATCAGTTTGAATGGCATCTTGATTGATGAATACCAAAAGTCATCTGTAGAATGAAAAAACACTATGAAAATGTCAAAGGAAATTAAATTCAATGAAATCTATCAAATCCATCTCCGAGATTCAACAAATTGATGATTAAAAGTTGGTTTTGGCAGAGAAACGTGAATCAATGAACAATATGATTATCGTCGATATGATTATTGAAGTACATTGAAGATTAAAATGGTATTTGTATTGTAAAACATCATGAGACTTGTTAACGATAAATAATCAGGTTTGTGTTGAAAACAAAAGAATGGTATTTATAATTAAAAATCGTCACGCTCATTCACTAGCATTGGTGTAAAACAAAAATGAAGTCTAGTCTCATTTACTTAGCTCTTGTACTTTGTTTTGGTCAAGTTTCGTTGCGAGTTTTGGTCGATTCTTTTCCTGACAAATCATCACAGATACACGCTGTTCTGGTTGGTGGCGGTGCAGGAGTGGCCACAGACTACAATGATCAGGCCAACATTTGCCATGCCTATCATGTTCTAATCAATCACGGTGTTCTTCCTGAAAATATCGTTCTCATGATATATGATGATGTTGCCTATGCTCCTGAAAATCCGTTTCCAGGTAAACTTTTCAACCAACCCAATGGTACTGATGTTTATGCTGGATGCATTAAAGACTATACTGGCAATGATGTCAATCCAGAGACTTTCATGAAGGTCTTGAAGGGCGACAAGGAGCTTGCCAAGAAAGGGAAAAAAGTACTCACATCAGGACCCGATGATCACGTATTCATATACTTTTCTGACCATGGCAGTGTGGGAGCAATTTACTTTCAGCAGACGGCATTGACCTCCCAAGATCTCAATGAAACTTTGACTTATATGCACCAGAATAACATGTATGGTAAACTGACTTTTTACTTGGAAGCCTGTGAGTCTGGTTCAATGTTTGAAAACATTTTATCTCGAAACATCAACATTTATGCGATAACATCGGCTAATCCAGGGGAACCTGGTTATGCCACCTATTGTGATGTTCCCGGTTTCCCATTTTGTTTGAGTGACGAGTTCTCGGCTGCTTGGATGCCAGACACTGAACATCATGATATAACCAAGGAGACACTTGAAACTCAATATGAACATGTTGTCAAAAAAGTGGCTTCCTCACACCCTCAGCAATATGGAGACAAAAGCTTGGCCAATCTGGTGATCAGTCAGTTTCAAGGAACTTCAAAGTCACAAAATTTACCAAAAGAGCCGATGGACTCCTTTGAACGCATAAATCAACGAGATGAGGCTTTGCACTATTGGAGACGAAGATTAGAGTCTGCATCCGAAAATGAGTACAATGAAGTTCGACTCAAGTTATCTTCTATCATTGCTGGTCGACGGTTCTATGATATGGCAATTAGACGTGTTATTGGACAACTTTGTAGTGCAGGTTATTGTAAGAGTGTCAACTCTGTTTTGAACACTCGATCAAGCCTCTTCAATCATAAAGCTTACTCAATGTTGGTCAAAAAGTTTGAATCAAGTTGCATAAATCTGGGTGTAAATACTTATGGTCTTCAATACATGTATGCCTTTGCCAATATCATTGAATCAAAAGACCACTTCAAAGAAGACGACTTACAGCTGATGATGAAAATATTGGAAGAGGCTTGCTCAATATTCATTGTAAATCACGCTTTTGATGCTATTGTTTAATTGCTTTTACTTTGATCAACGCAACAAGCAACGTAAACTATGGAAACCTTGCACTTCCATGCATAGCTCAAACAATTTATAAAAGATGTGTCTTTTAAGGAAAGTTTCCTAAGGGCTCAGAACATAAATCAATCTTTTCATGAAACAATTTATTTTTATGATTTTTTAATTCTCTCGAAATCTTTCAAAAATTAAAGATGAACTAGAAAAAGCATCAAAAATCAATGTTTCTAATATTATTATGGCAATGAAGATACAAAAAATGAGTGAAATAAAAAGGCTCATTGCAATGGGCACATACAACCAGACTAGACGCGTTTTTTGCCAAATTAAAACTATTATATCATAAATTGATAAGAGCAAACGACAGAAAACAAGCCTACAAAGTCTCTACTCTTAACCCGAAAACCCCCTTTTTATAATAATCTAATTTTGGTAGCTTTCAAACTTATCAAATGACCGTAAGACGACCAGTTCTATTGTTAGTTAGCCAGACCAATCATTGAAATCGATTCGGATGACTTGGACACTTCCTTTGTTAGATATGCCATTCGCTATTTTTTCTCGTTTTATTGAGTTTTTTGTTATTGATTCTTTGATTGTATCCTTTTTACTCTCATATCAATTGTTTATCAACCAAGTCAACAGTGGCCAACCTTTAATAGCTAACAGTATTATACAACAGTGTAATACTATTAAACTCATGGTAATCTTAGCATATTATGCTTAAACAGCGTTTTTAAGTAATAGTTAGTCACATGATAATTCAATAAATAGTTGAACAATCAATATAAATGCTCAAATTTATTGATAGCATCCAAACATTACGAGTAACTAGTAAAAAATTCCTAATGGTTTCAATATCAAGAGTTTATAATCTCAGACTATAGATGGCACAATCTAATGCACATGAAATGAAATTGAAAAGCAATTCATATCAACGCTGAAACACCTTGATGTTTAAATTTCCAGCAAAAGGATTCTTCTTCTTCATGATATTCAGAAATTTTACGAAATCATAATCAAAATAATCGACTCTTTTCGAGCATTGCTCACCAAAAAACTCAAGAATCGGAGGCATGATTAGTTACTCCCAAACCAAAAAATAGTGTCAAACTGTTTGTGATTGAATGCAAATCAATCAGTAAAGATGTTCCATGAGTTTCAACTTGAATGGCTCAACCATTAGTTGTTTATTCATCAGTGAAAAAGCAATGGATGCAAAAAACACTAACACACCACAAGAGTTTAAATATAGTTGAAAAGTTGATTTGGTTGCCAAGAAAAGAAGATGAAACTCATGGAACCCAATGAAATGGCGAAAATTGAGTCGCACAAAATTCTCGCATCTTTTCCCTTTCCATTCAAGCTTAATAGTGAGGTTGCTTTTTTTTCGTTAATACATTTTCTTGCTAACCAAGTGTACAATAAATTTGATCATTAAATATTAACCACATTAGGTTTGATCGTTAATCTCCCTGTGATCAAGGAAATAGCATTTATTCATTAGGTGAATCGAGGCAAAAAGTGAATAAAGATTTGGGTAAAGATTTTCATTTGGATCACAAAGGGAACCAAGGCAAAAGGTGAGTAATGAGAGAAAACTCAATTTTCCAATTATAAATTATTCTTGCCATTTTTATTCAATTTCATTCAATGTTAATTATAATTCTGTAAAGGTGAACACACACAATGAGCCAGGAACTATCTCAAGTCAGAAATGATTATGTTAACCTGAGAAGCGAGAAATCAATTGAAATGTAAATCTAGAGTTGAATTATTATGCAGTTTACTGGAAAAAGCAAATGCAAAAATTAGAAGCAATGAGAATGAAAGAAGAAGAAAGAATGATTTAAAAGAAGTGAAAATGTAATTTGATTTAATTGATTGTAACTCTAAATTCAATTGTTGATTGTTGATGAATTTAATGAGGTACAAGGAAATGATAACAAAGTAAGATATATTGTAGCAAAGAAGAAGAAGAAGAAGAAGGAAGAAGATGGAAAGATGATTGAATAAGAAGAGATGTTAATAATTGAGTTTACTCCACTAAAGTTACCAGATTGATGGTAAAAAGATTTGTTTTGATCGATTCTGTAAAAGTCAGGAGAAGCTGATAAACTCGTAAAAATGAGATGAAAATGAGATTTAAGGTTGGATAAAAGTGTGTGCTAAAGATTGTAAATTGAAGATGATTTCTGTTAACCTTAACAATAATATAATTGTCAGTTGAACAGTAAAATAATGTTATAAAATGGGTTAAGGAAAAAGGGAAAAGTTGATAATTTTTTCTTCTCTTTACCTTTTACTGTTCCTTCCTTTCACCCTTCACTTGAACCAACGAAAATCGGAAAGGAATAAAAAAATTAAGCAAAGATGAAGATAACAGGGAATGGTGATAGAGGTGAAAAAAGCAAGGGTTAAACAGGAAGGTAAGGAAGTGAATGCAAAAGTGAAATTTCAGCTGAAACTAGGAAAAGAGAAAAAAAAATATTCCTTTTTGTCTCCAACCTGAAACAATCGGATGAAGCAATTTCAAAATGAAACTTTGATAACTTGAAAAGGTTGGAAAAAAAGAATCTTTTTTTTCTTCTCTTTTCAATGAATCATTATTTTCATGAGCAAAAAAGGTAAACTTAATCAGTTTGTCAATGTCAATGTTTGAAATGAAAAATTAGAGTTTAATTGTTTGAATGTTGATTCTTGATTCGTTAATTGCAATTCTTTACCTTTGCTTCCACGGAAACGTTTCCATTGTTTGCTATTGCAAAAAAACTGAATGTTGAACTTCAGAATTCATTCACTTTTCGTTGTATTGAATTGTATCAAACATGATAATTTTACCTTCTTTTCTTAATTTTTTTCTTCTCCACTTTTTAAACTTTGTATTATTATTTTATTATTATATATAGTATTATATAATATTTGTGTTCATTTTTGTGTTCATCTCTCTTCGTTACTGCCTACTATTATTATCATTTTACTTTTTTTCAGAACTTTATCCATTTACTTGTTCTTCCTTCTTTTCATGATCATGATTGTTATTAAAATGATAATTTCATTATTTGTTTTCCCTTATTTTGCTTTGCTTTCACTTTATCACAACATTGAATTATAGCTTTTCATTCAATCATTTAATTTTCCTATTTTTGTACTTCAATCTATTTGTATCTCATTTCATAATGACAATCAGTGAAAAACAGTTTTACTTTTGAAATGAGTTTACATCTGAAAATCAATAAAAGGTTATCAAATTTCGCGACAACCTTTTGCTCTTCAAAGTGTCACAAATCACAGAATAGAGACAACATTGAAATTCAGTAATCAAATGATAACATTTAGCATCAATTGGTTTTCCTCTTTTTTGCCATGTTAATCATTTCTAATTGATAAACATTTCTGCCAAACCCATTTCGATATTCACACAACTTTTCAATGAGTATTTTGCGTTTTCACTCTTTTCCAGTTTTCTTGTTGAAATGTTTCAATCATTTTCTGTTGGATAATTAAATTGACTTGAAAGACAAAACAATTAGAAGTAAAGAGTTTCAGATTTGGTTGAAGCAAGAAACAGACTCTGAGTCAATGATATTGAATGGAATTATAAAACTCGGAAAAAGAGTTGGATGTTTGAGTGAAAATATGAAAGCTAATGAATAGACAAAAGATATTTTATTATTGCTGCAACTTTTGTTATTAGATTATGATAAATATTGCTTTTGCTCTTGACTGTTCAACTTTTACTTTGTTGCTTTATATTGGAGTAGCTCAACGAGTTATGAGCATTTCATTTTCAACTTTTGCTAACTTTTATTGATTCAATCAATTAAGATGATATCATGATATAACCTGAAATGTTTACCTGAAAAACAAACAGATCAATGGAAGGAATCATATTACAATTGGCTAACAAATAATTTCAAAGTGCAATCTTCAACTTATAATGTTCAAGTAAAATTGTAAATTCATCTTTTGCATCAACTTTTCAACTCTTGGAATAGTCCCATTGAAATGATCAAAAATTGTATTGAATTATTGAAACATTTCCCAAACTTGAAAAGATAACAAATAAAACATTTCTGCTTTTGTGCTTTCTTGATCAATGCTCATCCGTCTTGCTGTCAGAGGCGAGCATTTCAAAATAAAACTGAAAACAGCTGGCAGCTGGTGCTTTAGGAAATGGAATTCGGTGAAAAAAGTTTCAATGGAATGAAGTTTGATAAAAGTTGACCAAAAGGATACAAACTATTGAGCAGATTAATTGAAAAACTATTATGAAATGAAAAATTCAGAAAGCATAAACGAAACAAGAATATTCTCGATTTTCTCGAATAGCTTCGATTCAACGCCTGAATTGGACAGTGCCTTTTGGATACTTAAAGTGAAGCTGTGCATTTACTTGCTACAGGTTGGAACAAATCTTTATTGGAAATGTCGTGTTCAAAAAAAGGCATTTTTTAGGTACGGGAAGCTCATTGAAGATTAGAAAGCACTTTGCCTGTTTAGGATTTGGCGATAATCATTTATATTTTGAATTCGGTGATTGATCACATTGAAAAATCGATATTTAAATTCCCTCGAATTTTAGGCTTCATCAGATCAGCTTCATCGACTTTTTCACAAACATTAGTGTGAACAGAAGAAGACTTTACATCGATTCGTTGCCTCAGTATCTCATCTCTTTCAAACTCTACTTTTAAATTGACGAACTTAACTCACTCGATGAATCGATGATGATCGATGATGGTCGATGCTCAATGAAATTATTGGATAGTAATCGATAACCGAATTTTCGATGATCGCGCATTACTAAAGCATTTACATGATCACAAAAGTCTCATAGAAAAAGAAGATAGTTCAAGATCAAAGAGCAATAACTTATGATTGGTATCGATGAAGTTCAACGTTATTTCAATTAAACACCAAGTTTACCTTATCATCTGTGCTCATAATGATTCCAACCAAATGGACCAAAAGCTGAAAGAAAAGATTCGCCAGAATAATAAATGATAATTTAATCCAATGATGAATGATGATTACGAAAATTGCTACATGGATAGACACATGAAACGTTTACAAATCTGGATTCAGTTCGCAGACTCTATCAAATGATTTGCTAATTTTTGTAAAACTCATTTTTGCAAAAATAGTTTCCATTGAAAAGATTTGCAAAGTTGCAAAAAGTTGCTTGAAAAAAGGCATCTTTCAGATTCTTTATCAACTAAAGACTGAAAATATGAATAGAAGCTCAAGTTAATGAAATTTACTGCATTACATAAACCAATTAAATAAATCATAAAACTGAGATGATGAATGTTCTTGAAAAGTATAATAACATGAGACTGAAATTAAACTCGTTGATTTGCCTTTATTGATATCACTTGACTTTAACTGCCTCAATTTTTTAACTCATTGAACAATGAAAATAATTCTTTTGATGAAGAGAAGAGAAAGAAAAAATTTCTCATGTCAATCCATTATGATTGGAGTTTCAACTGATGCTGATGAAGATGATGGTGGAATGAGAAAGCCAGCTAATTAAGGACAAGTTAATACAATATAAGTTAAACAAGATTGGAAATGTTTTTATTCTTGCTTTTCCTTCTGCATGAGAGATAATTATTTGTTCATGAAATGCTAATATGTTCAAATGTATTTTTAAATAGCATTAGCAAGAGAGAAGAGAGAAGAGAGGAAAAAGTGAATCAAGAAACTCGGTTAATATGATGATAATGATGAAATAGAATAGAGAAAAGTTGAAAGTAGAAAAAGAAATAAAGGAAAAATTTTCCTCCCTGAATAATGATTCTCCATGTAATATGTTGTTAGGTTTAATTTGTATTTTCACCTCGACAGTTGTTCAAATCTCAATATTTCCAGATGCTTAAAACTCTGCTGCTTTGACGAGACACAATTTTGATTGCTGTTAAAGAGTCAAACAATGCTAATTAAGTCAATTGTAAAGTTGACAAAAGCAGCACAAAAAATGAAAACAATATCCAATTCAATGTGAAAATTCAAATGATGAGCTAGTTAAAGTTTAATGAAAGTAAAACAAAAAATCAACTTTCATTAGCAATCCTTTTCTGCCTTTGGACAATGATGAGCAAAGTTACCAAAGTACTGAAGTATCTGATGGATGATAAATTGGTGAATTGATGAAGATTACTCGAATTGAGTTTTACCATTTTCTCGATTGTTGTGTGAAATTTTTGGCATTCCTTGTCGCCTCAGTCTATTCACTTTTGAACTTTCATTGTTTCAATTTGTCGACTTTTGCAAAGTTTTGAAAATTTTATTTTCCAAGTAAAATCAATAAGTGAAATCAATAAATGCCAATACCTTTTGCATCCTGTGATAGGTTCAGGTTTTCCACTTTTCATGAATCAAAGTTAACCAATTTTCTGATCCTTTTACATGACAAATAATGTTCAACAGAGCTTATGTCAGCTGATTTTCCCATTCATTATTAATATGCTTTTTTTATACTTTCATGTTCTTTTCCCTTTAAACATCATTAATCGATAGTTTACCAATACAGGTAAAGAGCATGAAAATGGAATCATGTTTGCTGGTGGTGAAGGTG